CTGATGTATATATTATTAATTAGGCTTTTTACGTTTCTCCATAAATGTCAGGGCTTTATTAATGATAGCAGATGTTTTGCAGGGTTTGTTTTTGTTAAGGCACATAAATTTACAAAACCAACTCAACATAACTGACCATTCAAGCCACATAGGAGTGCAGTGAGTGAGTTGTAGGAGAAATTAAACCAGTAGTGTAGAGGTTTTTTGACTGGCATTTTGAGTGTCAGTGGGTTTTGAACTGATGTATTCCATGCGCGTTTTGTTTACAGTTATGGAGTGATGGACAAAATGAATGAATCAGAGAAAACATCGGAAAACTGGGTGGTCAAGATCAATCTAAATAGAAGACATGCAAAAAAATATAATAAATATACATGTATAATCAATTTTTATGCTATAAAGAATATATCCTATATAGGAAAAGAATCATTTTGTTTTCTACTTTTATTGCAAGGACAATACTTGACATAAATCGCTAGAAGTGCCGATGGAAATCTTTTCCAGTAATTCATTCCGAGATAATTTCTGTGAACCAGTTGTGGGTGTAGTTATGTAAGAGGTTCATTTAATATGAAATAGAAAGGCCTATCATTGTAGGACATTTAAGTGTTATTCAGTTTGCCCCTGTTTCGAAGCTTTTACTAGTTTATACGTAAAGAATGCATAACTCTGTATTTTAGTGTAATTCTTAGAAATTGTTTTTTGGTATAAATATGAAGTTTTAACCAACAGGTTTATAGATTGATCGATGAACATATAAAGCTTTATGATATAAAATCATACATTTGTTGATTTATTATTTATCCCAGGAGTATTATTTAATTTTACATTTTGCCAGAGTGTTTGATAAACTTTACCCAGCATATGATTGGGGTGTACCACAAATATATGAGAAGTAGAATTCACTGAAGCAAAACAGTTAAGTTTATAGTTCCATTGTCTTGACATTCTTTAATTAATAAAATAAATGATATGAAAATATTGTTCCATTACCGTAGTTAGAGGGGACACTTTCATTTTTCTTTCTCCATAATTTTATTGTTTTGCAACAGAAGCCATTGTCCTCCCCATACATTAATTAACTTGATTATTTATGAAGCTTGTTAATAAACAGTTCTGTTTAATAGCAGACATTTACATGTAAAGGAATGTGTCAAGTTAAAATTGTTTAAAGTGCATTATATATAGGTTTATTGCCATTCCTAGAAATGCATATGAACAATAAATATTATAAATGCAGACTATGATAGAAACTTTCTGGAAGTTCTTAATCCTAAAATTGGAACATTTTGCATTGTTATCATTGTTAAATTGCAATCTCTACATTTGTATATCATTTACATTGCAAAAAATAATGAATTTTGAAAAGTTGAATATTTGCACCATTGACTCTTGCTCTTCCCACTGCGTATGAACTATTTAGTATCTGACTAAATACCTGAGTAATCCATAGGCACTTGGTTTTTCAATGTAAATTTCTTAACTTTTTTCTTTTAGATCATTTTATTGAAAAAATTCATTTGCAAGTATTTCTTTTTGAAGATTTCAGTTGTATAGTTGATATATATTTATAAAAAGAGAGAGAGAAGATGAAAAAATGCTGGAATTTCAATAAATCTGATTAAAATTTCTATATCAATTCATCAAGAAATCCATCATGGATATCACATCTAAGGGTGCGAACAGAAAAGAGACAAGTTTATCAGAGAGATTGGAAAAGATAGATTAATCAGCTATACACAAAGCCAAAGAGTTCTCACAAAGCCACCATTTCCTTGGCAGTGGACAGAGGAATTCAAGCCCTGTCAAACCATGATGAACTGCAGAGTCTGAAAGTGGCCATGGAGGGTTCTTAAAAATGGGAAACAGAATCTGGTGAATAGGGGGTACCAATTAATATCAAAGTTGGGCTTATTCTGTTTAAACCTTTCTTCAATGGGTGAAAGTTTTCTTAACTAGATTTAGGTTGCATTGGGGGTTTTGGTCAAGAAGACAATGGAGTAAGGGGAAGGAAACAATTTCAAACAAAGGATACTAAGTGACACTGGGTATTGATTTGTTTAGCTTAAAATTATAGAGAATCCAATGTATTGTACTGATATACTAATTTGAAGGATTAGATATGTAAACTATTTTATTGCTCTGAAAAGTATGTTTAGAATAGGAAGTCCTTATATGTGAAACTTGAAATGATTTGATGAATGCCTTGATTGTATGAAAATATGCAGAAATCCTGATAAAATATATGAGGATGTTAGGTCAATTAGAAATCCCAAGTACTTAGGTTTGCTCAAGGACGTGAGCACTCAACAGGAAGGTTATGTGTAATTTTTAAAGAGTACCTCTACTTATGGGCACGGTTCCATTATTTCCTTTTTATATAAGATATAATACATGTATGATTAAGGACATAGGCAACGTAGTTTGAACTTTATTGTCTTTCCCCCTGGCGTTGAAGAGTTCCAATACTTAAAGGAATTGTGTGTTACATTTTAATGTCTATATATGCTGTTGTACACTTCTTCTAAAACAAGTTTGGATAAACAAAACATCTAGAATATATGTTTAGTAATTTTTGTATATTTTTCTTTGAATTATATAAGAATTTTCATCAATTTATATCTTTTCAAAACCCCTGGTAATGCATGCTGATTTTTTGTCTAGGAACATCTGATGGCACAATAATCTTAAATTAATAATATCTTGAAAAATTATCAGTAGATAAGGTACGTTGCGTATGTCCTTAAAACAATTACAGTGCTTGTTTAAGGAAATTTTTCTGCTTGAATTGGGGAATTTTCTTTGAGTTTTAGAACAGTTTGACTTTAACCTATGCTCAACTTTTAGAAGATAACAACTTGAGCTATAATGACAACTTAAATTTTCCTAAAATGTATGCTGAACATTTAAATATCTTAAAAACAAGAAAAATATATATGCATATTTCATTTTTAAAAATGACATTTCAATTTTAATGTATGCCATTTTTAAAATAAACACAATTGCATGCCATGCCATCTAATGTGAACATTAATTAACTTTGTATTTGGGAGACTGCATGGTGTACGTAATTGAAATCAGAACTGTAGTCAGTTACAAAAAATCATTCTGTCATTGACAAACCCCAGATTTTTAGTCATATTTCTGTATCCAATGCACTAATCACACATTCCAAAAAATATGTTTCTTTCCATTTTATAGCCAAATAACCCTGTATTAATAGAATTAATTATGTAGATTTGCGTATATTTATCCTCTGTTTTTTGTGGATCCCACACAGGTAAATTTAAATGGTTCTTGTTTCACGCCTGGTTGAATTCTACAATCTTTTTGCATGGATGAGCCATCAATGTCAGTTTTTGTCTCTGTCAAAGTTAACATAGATCTACTATGGTCAAAGAGAGCTAACTCCTGTTTCTATATACAGGGTGGTTCAAAAACATTTGCCTGAGAATTTTTCAATGACAACCTACATACTAGTGGGTACAATAATGAGTATGTGGTTTGGAGAAACTTCTTGTAAGAAATTCATAACAAAGTTAATGAAATTTATCAACTTTCTGACTTAAATGAAAAAAATGAAGATAAGAAACAAAAATTGATCTCAAAAAGTTAGTTTTATAAAAATTTAATGGTCATCAAACATACCAAGTGATACATATGATTGTTAAATTATGAGTCTGCAAATTACAAAGTCTTCAGAGATGTAAGATAACGTGTAAGGTGATAACCAGAAATGTTTCTCCTGACTTAATTAGCAGTCATATTTGTCACCACAGACTTTCCATGTGTGGAAAATTATCCAAGGGTCTAATCAAATATTCACTGAAAGACAACAGACTACAAAGCATTGATAGCCAAGATATTAAGCATCGGTCAATGAATAAGCTAGGGTATAATGTGTCAGAGGCTCAGATTCATTTAGCCATAAAAGCTTTTTTCTTCTCTTCTGTTCTCTAATTATACTTCATAGCTTTTAGGTTGCATCAATAAATAAAATTACCAAACATGATGTTGGCCAGAATCGCATCAGGAGTGAATATTTATATCCACTCTGATTTCTTCCCTGGGATTGAGATCGCGAGCATTTGACAAGTTCCTGATGTAAAGATGACTTTCTCTGTTCACACATTTGTAGCTAAAAAAAGAACATTTGACCAATTCTACATTTCCTTAAGGATTCTGCAAGTTTCAGAAAGGAGTTTTATTTTTAATGGTACATATAATTGAATTTGATTCATAAATAATTGAAGCATTACTGTAGACTCAAAATAAAACCAACATGCTTTTGGCAACTTTTTCGGGGAGGGGGGGGGGGGGGGGGTAGGAATCATCAATTTGATGCCACCATCATTCAAAGCACAGGGTCATACGATATCATACGATATACTGTATGTGTCCTTTAAACAGCGGGCTTCATATTTTAGTGGCTTTCGCGCAGACAAAGATGCGCTAATTTATGAATACCCCTAAGAAATCATTTATATATACAATATATGGCCCAGACATGTGTAGCGCTAATTCATGATTACGCCAACAACTCCATACCCAGTGACTGCGCTAAAATTTGAATGCGCCAATTAATGTACACATACATCTTCTTGCGAGATGTTTTCACAGACGTATTTATATTAGTAATACAAGTCACTGGAAACAGTGTTCCGAGCCTGTTGATCTTATTGAATGGTTATCCCTCCCTAATGTACCCTAGACATACCAGAGCTCTACAGTAAATACATGAGATATTGATCATATCAGGTCACTCCATGTTCCCAGTCTCAAGCTTCAAAGTCAGTGGAAAGAGGAGCACATTAATAAAAACTAATGTACTCCATATTTACTAGCCTGTTTGAGCTAGGGAGACAAGTCTTCCATGTTTTGGTATTATATTTAATATTGATTTAATCAAATTGAGCACTGTTGTCTTACATAAAAATATAAAAACTAGTTTTCAATTCACTCAGAAGTGATCATTATCTGTTTATTTTTTCTCTTTCCAGGAAAGGTCATCTGCCAGATCAAACAAAAAGTGCACTTAGGTATGTGTAATTTAATAAATATCATAATGTATTATTATTCTCAGACAGTAAGAAATAACATATAACATTGCAGAAAGATAAAACTTTCAATTGGATATTTTCACAAATTTTCAATTCTTTCAAGTTTTCTAGTGGGTAAAGAGGAACTGCCAATCACAGAAAGAAGGGAGGAGCCAAATCACAGACACCATAGCAACAAACTTCTGAACAGATTAAAACAGAACCAGACCTTCCAGATCATTAATAAATGGCTACAGACCACACCCAAACACAGTCTGTGTCAACACAGTTATGGATGTGCTCATTATGTTGTACAGGTCAGTAAAGGTCAAAGGTTACATTTGCAAGTATCTTAGGTTACCATAAATCTAAAGGTCAAGGCCTTTAACCACTGTCAGTCTGTCAGATTAACTTTTCATTTGAGACCAGATTCATCATATACATGTATCAAAATGCCTATAAAGCTTCTACTTAATACTGCATCAATGACATTTTGAAAAAAAAACAAACAAAATCATTGATCTCTCAAATTGAAATGATAATTGTTAACCAAGGAGCTTATTCTTACAGGGCTTTGTGAAGATGTTTGGACTAGGCTTTTTGGTTCAAGGAGGAGTTAAGCTTTTGGGTGCCTTGCCCAGGATTTACAAGAATCCAGGAGCTGTGCTTCATGCCTTAAAACATCGGGATAACTTCAGGCTTGGGGCATTCCTAGGATGTTTCAGTGCCATCTTCAAGGTGACCATGCATTTCTTTCTTGGAAGTCATTAAGTCAGAGTAAATTTTATTAAGAACATGTATTCCAAGATGATTGTTAGTGTTTTAATATTTTTACAAGTTGTGGTATTGTTTACATTTCATCTTTTGAGTTTCAGTAAAGCAATGAATTTAAAAGGGTTGTAAACAAATAGTTGATAATAAAAAGAAACATTTATTCAGTAAACCTACTATCTGTAAATGCTATTATTAAGGACACTTTTTTGTTTCAGTCTGTGAATTGTTTGCTCCGCTGGATGTGTAATAAAGACAGTGAGATATATGGACTTTTAGCAGGCTTTCTGGCTGGCTGGTCTATGTTGTGGTACAAAAGTTCCACCATAGCACTGTATACTGCCTACAAATTAGCAGAGGTGAGAGATTCTGTTTTAAAGAAGGCATACTAGTGTAAAGTACTTAGATGACAATGTTTGTCACTCAGAGAGGACAAAAACAGTAAGAGACAAGAAGTGTTTGTGAAACACTGATGCCCCCGTATGGCAACTTATAGCAAAGGTTAAACTTTCTCAAATGCAAATTAAATATGTTGGTACCCAAAGTAAGGTCTTGTCTCGAGGAATATACCCGTGAAATATGAAAGCCCTAGCAGCAACCATTGAATAGATACGGAAAAGATTGAAGTTTTTTCAAAAATATGTCAAACATCAAGGTCAAGGTCAAAATTAATGGTGCCCAAGGAAAGGCCTTCTCCCAAGAAATACACAGGTGAAATATGAAGGCCAAAGCACCAATCGTTCAAAAGTTATGACCAAGGTTAAAGTTTTTCAAAAATAGGTCAAACTCCAAGGTCAATGGATTACAATTGTTGGTATACAAAGGAAGGACTTGTCACAAGAAATAGACAAGTTAAATATGAAAGCCCTAGCACCAACTGTTCCAAAGTTATGTTCAACTTCAAAGTTTTTCAAAAGTAGGTCAAACTCCAAAGTCAAGGTCAAAGTTGTTGGATCCAAAGGAAGGACTTGCCACAAGGATTACATATGTGAAGTATGAAAGCGCTAGCACCAACCGTTCAAAAGTTATGACCAAGGTTAAAGTTTTTCAAAAGTAGGTCAAACTCGAAGGTCAAGATCAAAGGGTCAAAGTTGTTGGTATCCAAAAGAAGGTCTTGTCAAAAGGATTAAATATGTGAAGTATAAGAGCCCTAGCGCCAATGGTTCAAAAGTTATGGCCAATGTTAAAGTTTTTCAAAAGTAGGTCAAACTCCAAGGTCAAGGTGAAAGGGTCAATGTTTTTGGTACCCAAAGGAAGGACTTGCCACAAGGATTACGCATGTGAAGTATGAAAGCCCTAGCACCAACCATTCAAAAGTTATGGCCAAGGTTAGAGTTGGGTAAAATTTTGCAAAACTGGGTCAAACTCCAAGGTCAAGGTCAAAAAGTCAAATATGTGGTATCCAAAGAAAGGTCTTGTCACAAGGAATACACATGTGAAATATGAAACTCATATCTCTAACCAATCAAAATTTATGGACAATGTTAAAGTTTTTGCGGACAAACAGGCAGACAGACAGACAGAAGGACAGGGCAAAAACTATACTGTAAACCAACTTTTATTTGCGTGCAAGAAATATTCGTGAGTTTCGCGAGCCTCTTTAACTCGCGAATATTAATCACCACGAACCATTTATTTTGCTTTGTTTTCGAAAGAATATTTCTTCAGTCGCAAAAATTAATCGTCGCATATTGATTTAAAACTGAAGAATCGCGAATAAAAGATGACGTGAATAATAGTTGGTTTACAGTATATCCCCGAATCTTCGATACGGGGGCATAATAAGTACATGAAATACAAGTTCACTACAATAAAAAACAAGATGTGTTTATGAAACACTAATGCCCCCATATGGCAACTTATAGCAAAGGTTAAACTTTCTCAAATGCAAATCAAATATGTTAGTACCCAAAGTAAGGTCTTGTCCTAGCAGCACCTGTTCAAAAGTTATGGCCAAGGTTAAAGTTTTTTAAAAGTAATTCAAATGTCAAGGTCAATTGGTCAAAATTAATGGTGCCTGAGGAAAGGCCTTCTAACAAGAAATATACAGGTGAAATATGAAAGCTGAAGCACCAATCATTCAAGTTATGACCAAGGTTAAAGTGTTTCAAAAGTAAGTCAAACTCCAAGATCAAGGTCAATGGATTACATTTGTTGGTATCCAAAGGAAGGTCTTGTCACAAGGAAAAACATGTTAAATATGAAAACCTTGGCAACAACTTTTCAAAGGTTGTGTCCAAAGTTAAAGTTTTCGAAAAGTAGGTCAAAGTCCAAGGTCAAGGTCAAAGGGTCAAAGTTGTTGGTATCCAAAGGAAGGTCTTGTGACAAGGATAATATATGTGAAGTATTAAAATCCTAGCACCAACCGTTCAAAAGTTATGGCCAAGGTTAAAGTTTTCCAAAAGTAAGTCAAACTCCAATGTGAAGGTCAAAGGGTGAAAGTTGTTGGTATCCAAAGAAACGTCTTGTCACAAGGATTATATATGTGAAGTATGAAAGCCCTAGCCTCAGCGATTCAAAAGTTATGGCCAAGGTTAATTTTTTTCAAAAGTAGGTCAAACTCCAAGGTCAAGGTCAAAGCCTCCAAGTTGTTAGAATCCAAAGGATGGTCTTGTCACAAGGATTACAAATGTGAAGTATGAAAGCCCTAGCAATAGCCGTTCAAAAGTTATGGCCAATGTTAACATTTTACAAAAGTAGGTCAAACTCCAAGGTCAAGGTCAAAGGGTCAAAGTTGTTGGCATCCAAAGGAAGGTCTTGTCTCAAGGATTACAATATGCTAAGTATGAAAGCCTTAGCACAAATTGTTCAAAAGTTATGGCCAATGTTATTGTTTTGCAAAAGTAGGTCAAACTCCAAGGTCAAGGTCAAAGGGTCAAAGTTGTTGGTATCCAAAGGAAGGTCTTGTCACAAGAATTACATATGCTAAGTATGAAAGCCTTAGCACTAATTGTTCAAAAGTTATGGCCAATGTTATCATTTTCAAAAGTAGGTCAAACTCCAAGGTCAAAGGGTCAAAGGGTCAAAGTTGTTGGTATCCAAAGAAAGGTCTTGTCACAAGAATTACATATGCTAAGTATGAAAGCCTTAGCACAAATTTTCAAAAGTTACGGCCATGTTAAAGTTTTTCAAAAGTAGGTCAAACTCCAAGGTCAAGGTCAAAGGGACAAAGTTATTGGTATCCAAGGGAAGGTCTTTACAAGGATTACATATGCTAAGTATGAAAGCCGTAGCACTAACCGTTCAAAAGTTATGGCCAATGTTAAAATTTTTCAAAAGTAGGTCAAACTCCAATGTCAAGGTCAAAATGTCAAATATGGTGTTACCCAAAGAAAGGTCTTGCCACAAGGAATACACATGTATAGTATGAAACCCCAAGCTTCAATTGTTCAAAAGTTATGGCCAAGGTTAAAGTTGGGAAAAATTTTGCAAAACTGGGTCAAACTTTAAGGTCAAAAGGTCAAATATGGTTGTACCCAAAGAAAGGTCTTGTCACAAGGAATACACAAGTGAAAAATGAAAACCGTAGCTCCAACCAATCAAAAGTTATGGGCAATGTTAATGTTTTTGCGGACAAACAGACAGACAGACAGACAGACAGGGCAAAAACTATATACCCCTGAATCTTCAATACGGGGGCATAAAAATCTCTGTCTGAATTGATAAATTGTAAAATGTAAAACTTATTTCAAAGCATATCCTTTGAAAGAAACCCAGTAATGATTTAATATACTGATGATGTCAGTTTTTAGATATTGATGTGCTATTGACTTCAAAATCATAGATCATATGCAGATTGACACTGCATATTGGCATATCTTCACCCATGAAATTTTAGCCAATATGCATTAGTGAGTTTGCCCCATTTTAAGATAGACCACTGAGGACGAAAGCAAATGGGATTAAAAATGGGGATAGATTTTTATTCTATATGTATACATTTTATGCTTGTCCAAAGAAGCTGCCATTGCATGAATCTTAGGTCTAAGGGGCATTTTTTTTAAGCCCCCAGATCGAAAGATCCCATGGGTATATTGTTTTTGTCCTGTCTGTCTGCTTGTCTGTTGTCAACTTTAACCTTGCCCATAACTTTTGATTGGTTGGAGCTATGACTTTCATATTTCACATATGTATTCCTTGTGAAAGACCTTTCTTTGGGTACCATCATATTTGACCTTTTGACCTTGGCCTTGGAGTTTTACCCACTTTTGCAAAATTTTATGAGACTATAACCTTGGCCATAACTTCTGAACAGTTGGTGCTTGGGGTTTCAAATTTCACTTGTGTATTCTTTGTGACAAGGCCTTCCTTTGGATACCAACAACTTTGACCTTTTGACCTTGACCTTGGAGTTTGACCTACTTTTGAAAAACTTTAACCTTGGCCATAACTTTGGAACAGTTGGTGCTTGGGGTTTCAAACTTCACATGTGTATACCTTGTGACAAGACCTTCCTCTGGATATCAACCTTTTTGACCTTGACCTAGGAGTTTGACCTACTTTTGAAAAACTTTAACCTTGGCCATAACATCTGAACAGTTAATGCTAGGGATTTCATACTTCACATATGTAATCCTTGTGACATCACCTTCCTTTGGATACCAACCACTTTGACCCTTTGACCTTGACATAGGAGTTTGACCTACTTTCGAAAAACTTTAACCTTGGCCATAACTTTTGAATGGTTGGTGCTAGGACTTTCATACTTCACATAAGTAATCCTTGTGACAAGACCTTCGTTTGGATACCAACAACTTCACCTTGACCTTGACGTTTTACTTACTTTTAAAAAACTTCAACCTTCGCCATAACTTTTAAACAGTTGCAGTTAGGGCTATCAAATTTCACAGGTATATTCCTCAAGACAAGACCTTTCTTTGGGTATCAACATCTTTTATCTTTTGGCCTAGATTTTGACTTGCATTTGAGAAACTTTAACCTTCGCCATAAGCTGCCATACGGGGGCATCAACTGGAATGGACATTTTTGAGAGGTCTTTTTATTTTTTTTAGGTGCTGTATTTCAAGGGTATCAGTAGAGGGCTATTTCCTTATATACGATGTGCTGACATCATTATTTATTCCATATCAACCGCTTTTGTCTTTCACGTAGTAAGTATCATGTTGAATTAGAAAAAAAGAGTTTCAGTATAAAACTGTTGGTACAATTTGTTTGAGAAAAGTAACACTTATTAGCTATACTTATGTATAATTCACAGGCACCTGACATAACATATTTTTCTAATATAAAAAAATTAACCCCATACCTTATAGTATTGGATTAACTTTTTTTATAAGAAGAATATGTAACGTCAAGAGCCTGTAAAGTAGTAATTCACCTCTATATGTGTGCAGGGTGCATGAAAAAGAGAGGTTAATTGCAAAGCTTGAATTTGCTTTTCTTGATTGTTTATTTGATTTTATTTGTTAGAAAATTTGAAAAAAAAAAAAAGTTATTTATTAGCTCACCTGAGCCGAAGGTTCAAGTGAGCTTTTCTGATCACATTTTGTCCGTCGTCCGTCTGTCTGTCTGTCCGTCTGTCTGTAAACTTTTCACATTTTGACTTCTTCTCAAGAACCACTGGGCCAATTTTGACCAAACTTGGTACAAAGCATCCTTGGGTGAAGGGGAATTTAAATTGTTAAAATGAAGGGCCAAGTCCCCTCACAAGGTGAGATAATCAAGAGAAGACAAAAATAGGGTGGGGTCATTAAAAAATCTTCTTCTCAAGAACCACAGGGCCAGTAAAGCTGAAACTTATATGGAAGCATCCTGGGGTAGTGTAGATTCTAAATTGTTCAAATCATGACCCCCGGGGGTAGGGCAGGGCCACAATGTGGAATCAATGTTTTACATAGAAATATATAGGAAAAATCTTTAAAAATCTTCTTCTCAAGAACCACAGGACCAGAAAAGCTGAAACTAATGTGGAAGCATCCTGGAGTAGTGTAGATTCTAAATTTTTAAAATCATGACCCCGGGGGTAGGGCGGGGCCACAATAGGGAATCCAAGTTTTACATTGAAATATGTAGAAAAAATCTTTAAAAATCTTCTCAAGAACCATTGGGCCAGAAAAGCTGAAACTAATGTGGAAGCATCTTGGGGTAGTGTAGATTCTAAATTGTTAAAATCATGATTCCTGGGGGTAGGGCGGGGCCACAATAGGGAATCCAAGTTTTACATTGAAATTTATAGAAAAAATCTTTAAAAATCTTCTTCTCAAGAACCACTGGGCCAGAAAAGCTGAAACTAATGTGGAAGCATCTTGGGGTAGTGTAGATTCTAAATTGTTAAAATCATGATTCCTGGGGGTAGGGCGGGGCCACAATAGGGAATCCAAGTTTTACATTGAAATATATAGAAACAATCTTTAAAAATCTTCTTCTCAAGAACCACAGGGCCAGAAAAGCTGAAACTAATGTAGAAGTATCCTGGGGTAGTGTAGATATAAATTGTTAAAAGCATGACCCCCGGGGGTAGGGCGGGGCCACAATAGGGAATCCAAGTTTTACATTGAAATATATAGAAAAAATCTTTAAAAATCTTCTTCTCAAGAAACACTGGGCCAGAAAAGCTGAAACTAATGTAGAAGTATCCTGGGGTAGTGTAGATTCTAAATTGTTAAAATCATGACCCCTGGGATAGGATGGGACCACAATAGGTGTATTACATGGGGGAAAGTCTGGTGAAGAACAGCAGGGCCAAAGTTACTCAGGTGAGCGTTGTGGCCCATGGGCCTCTTGTTTTTTTATTTTATTTTTTTTTTCGCAGGCTGTTCTTGAGCCACATAATTTAAGACCAGCATATTGGACATTTTTACTCAGAGTTACAGGAAATAGGTAAGGATTGTGCATTACTGTATTAATTAAGTCACCTAAGGTATAAAATAAAGAGATCCTTGATTCACTGTATAACCAGTCAGCTTTCATTTGTAAAGTTCTGGTTATTAAGACAGGTGCTCTATGTAACCTGTTGACTTATTTTATGGATTATTATCCTTAGTCCCCAATGACAGTTTTGAATACTCTATTTTTTGTGGTTCTTGGACTCTTCTTCCATCCTTAGAACTGTTGCTACTTAACAGTTGAATTACATATAATATAACATTTTATTAACTTCTAATGGATCTTACTTGACAGGTTTAGTTTGATGAATAGAAAGCTTTTGGAGCCATTGTATAAAGATGCAGCTAAAATCGCCCCAGATTTCTGGCCGGATTATGACATGAGATATACCAACCTTACCAGAGATACAGTGCTACACAAAAGTTGATGCTAGAGTGTCATGTCTACAGAACTGCTCAAATGTTTGATTGAAATGGTGCGATTTTGTTATGGTACATCAAAATCCATTTATAATTTAACCAGTATTGTTCATGTATGAACTATAGAAATTTCCAACGTCATTTCCAAATATGGGAAAAAAATCAAATTACAACTTTTCAATCATGACTATTAAGATCTTCAGAACAAAAAAGTTGGTGCAAGAATGAATTTTTGTTTTCTTGGTGATATAACAGGTGTACATGTGTGAAAGTTTTTATGTTTGTATTGAATGTTTGTGTTTTCTGGATATGATCACAGATGTTTCCATTCTATCCTGTAATGTTTGATTCTTTTTTTTAATTTGTCCATCTTCCTGTATTAGAACTTTGTTTTGTGCTGGTCCATTCTTTGAGAGTCATGCATGTATAATTTAATAGTTATTTGGATACATATACCATATGTATTTTTTTTATTTTTGTATATGATGCAATCCATGATTTGTTTTATGAAGTCATATAATCCATTTCTCAGGAAATATATTTTTGAGTTTGGGTATGATTATGTGTATATTTGCATGTTTAAAAATAAGAAAAAATGCTACAAACAAGTTATACTGTACATGTTAATTGTTGCAACATTTTTAAATAATCATAGTGTAATTGAAATTAGTTGAAATTTTTCATATATGATAAACTTGAAGATAGAAGAAAAAATGTTATTACTGAAGAAAGTATATTTGCTGAAAAGCATTATTTTAAAAAAATAAAGGGTCTAAGCATTTTTTTTTTAGTAAGGTGATATGAACCAATTTTATTTTTTGATATATAGAAGAAACTTCGTGATGTGGAACATTATGCAAGCAGAATACAAAGTACATGCATCCTCTGTGATAAATTATGTGGCAAATTTATTTTATATTTTTTTGAGATTAAATTCTGTAATATCTATACTGGATTTAGTTTGTTTTTATACATGTATTTAGCTTGAGCCAAAAGTTGTGAGGTTGAATATTGTGCATCTGTAATAACTAGAAAATTCTCCAGAACCACTGTGCCAGTTTCAGCTAAACTTGGCATTAAGCATCTTTGTGCAAAGGTGATTGTTATTATACCCCACGCAACTAGTTGCGGGGGGTATAATGTTTTTGACCCATCCGTCAGTCAGTCAGTCCGTCAGTCTTGTTTTTTTGTCAGCGCAACTCCTCCTAAACCGCTGCACAGAATTTCGTCAAACTTTGCAGATATTTAGGACACAATGTGTAGATGTGCATATTACCAGGAAATTCCGATTCCATTATTTTTTCTGGGAATTTCGGCACTTTTCAACTTAGATTTTTGGCCATATCTTGAATATAGAGATGAACAGTTTGTCAGCGCAACTCCTCCTAAACCGCTGCACAGAATTTCGTCAAACTTTGCAGATATTTAGGACACAATGTGTAGATGTGCATAATATCAGGAAATTCCGATTCCGTTATTTTTTCTTGGAATTTCGGCACTTTTCAACTTAGATTTTTGGCCATTTCTTGAATATAGAGATGAACAGTTTGTCAGCGCAACTCCTCCTAAACCGCTGCACAGAATTTCGTCAAACTTTGCAGATATTAGGACACAATGTGTAGATGTGCATATTACCAGGAAATTCCGATTCCATTATTTTTTCTGGGAATTTCGGCACTTTTCAACTTAGATTTTTGGCCATTTCTTGAATATAGAGATGAACAGTTTGTCAGCGCAACTCCTCCTAAACCGCTGCACAGAATTTCGTCAAACTTTGCAGATATTTAGGACACAGTGTGTAGATGTGCATATTACCAAGAAATTCAGATTCCATTATTTTTGCCCTAAGAGTTTTGCCTCTTATTGAAGAAACTTTCCAGCTAGGTAATAAGATAATCCACTGGAATCAGCCTTTGTAATGACATTTTATGTGAAATATTTTATGACCTTAAAAGACCCCTATTGATTTTGAGATCAAAATATTAATGATTTAACACACACAAAATCTTGAATAATTTTGTTTCCATCAATTATTTAAATGTGTAAGTTGTCATGTGTTGGACATGGACTTTCACTCATTAACAAATCGAAATCACTGAGGAATTTAAATAACAGTTTGTCAGCATAACTCCTGCACTGAATTTCCTGAAACTTTGTAGGTATTTCAGACATAATGTATAGATTTGTATATTACCAAAAAATTTTGATCCATTATTTATCTAGAAACTTCAGCCCAATTAAATTTGTAACATACAAAGATTTGAATGTCGTTATATGCAAGAAGTTTTGATGTGATGATTTTTTGCAAGTAATGCCCCTTTTTGAATTATACTGTGTATTTAAAATACACTGTGCCATTCAGTACGTGTTGCATTGTTGAGTTTTGGGGGAGCGTGGGGTATGTGAGCTTGCTCACTCTTTCTTTCATTTGTGTAAGTGAAGGGCCAGTCCTATTCCTTGGGAAGAGAATAATGAAAACATGGTTTTTAAATCCTCTTTTCTAGAATAAGTCAATTGGTAATCCTCGGCTAACTCCGCTTTGCTCCATACAAACCTCGGATGTGATTGGTGAAGGAGTATGCATCAAATCAGTGCATTTTTCCATCGGAACTGCCTATAATCATTTTATATTTCGTACTGCATAAAGTTCACCAAAAAAGTCTCCTTTCTTGTCTAATACATTCTTGTATATTGATTAACATTTGATTACAACCTTCTGTTAGAAGTATTTGAAAGCAAAACCTTGTGTTGGACATGCCCACAAAGTAACTATGACTTCAAAGAAACAATATTTGAAGGAATTTTAGACTGGATCACATGATTGTATTGAACACAGTTCACATCCAAGGTTAGTGTGCAAGGCAGGAGCCACATTAGAAGCTCAGAGTGAGAATCGGTGGGATAGAAACACAAATCACGTAAAACTTTGTTAGGGATCTGATCTGTGAGTGCCATATAGTGATCATTTTGTTAGTCCATCCAATATCACTTATCCAGAATATATTTTCTCTCTTCTGGTCCAATCTATCTCAAACTTAATCTATAGCATGATTGTAGGGAGATCAAAGTAAACATTTTTATGTAAAATCCTTGTCCAGCGCTTATTTTCTTTCCACCTAATCTCAAACTTGACACCTTAAGTGTCTGCGTGTAAACTGTGTTTAGAGCAAATTTTCTGTTTTGCTCCATCTTCCTCATACTTTAAGCATAAAGTGCTGATGGGTAAAGGATGTGTAGTGACCTTGATGCAGTTCTCTTAAACATCAGTATTTTTTTTTTTTTTTTTTTTTAAAATCTCTTTTAATTTAAATTCCTTGTTCAAAACAATTTTTTTCTCCCCTTCACCCAGTCTTGTTCATTTTTTACCCTAGAGTGTCCATGGGTGGATGATGTGCAGTGACCTTGAGCCAATTTTATAGAGCAAAATTCAAGGTAAAAAAGATCTCTGTGAAAAACTGAAACATATTTTCATTCCCCTCAACCTGTCTGGCTCATACTTTACCCAAAGAATACCCATGGGTTAAGGGTGTGTAGTGAACTTAAACTAAATTCTTTAATAATCAAGGTCAAAGAAGATCTCCCTTAGAAATCCTTGTCTGGGGCATACTTTCATTTTTTCCCCTTCCTGGCTCTTTCTTCACTCATAGAGTGCTCATGGTTTGAGGTTGTGCAATAACCTTACACAATTTTTTTTTATCAAAGGTCAAGGTCAAAATAGGTTTCTGTGTGAAATACTTGTAATGAGCATATTTTCTCTCCCCTTGGCACCATCTGGCTCATATCTCACCCAGTGTGCCCATGGGTAAAAGTTAAGTCAAAGGTCAAGGTCAACTCTAAATACAGTACTTTACAAGCCCCTTCATCCTCATATCCATGTCTAAATGTGGGGCCCTTTGAGATGGTTACCATTTAAACAGTGTCTAGTTGAATAAGGAATCAATCCTTGACAAGAAATTTATGACTGATTTTGAGCACATCTTGTGAAGAGTCCAGGTAGACATGGAGTTAATGGTGAAACTTCACCATACGGCAAGTAAATAAAAACAAAGTGTTTCATAATTTAATTTCTATGTGAAAATGTTCATGTAAAAAGTGCAGTTCTGGTCTATAAAATAATACAAAATTTTAAGAATATACAATCCAACAGAAATGATAAAACACACACGGGGTGCAGGCACTTCTGTATATATAGATGACTAGTGGGTAGCACCACCATTACAGTATGGGATACAAATATCACACAAAGAATTTTCTATTTTGTATAAAAATCTTTACAACAGAAACTAACCTTACATTCACACATGAAAAAAATGTCTGAATTGAATTGGAAATATATAAATGCTCCAAAATTTCATTGTTCAAGATGAAAAATAAGAAAATTCAAAAATTGATATGTATGTCAAAGATTGTACAGTAAATAAAATGGACACACAGAAATCCACTAAAATTTTAGTTTTGTCTAACATAGACTTGTTGACATCTAAAAAAAAAATAAGGCTGGAATGTCTATAGGCACTCAAATATATACAACCCTGTAAACAATAAAGACTTAAAAATCTCTTCCAAATAATATACTAATAATTCTCGGTAATATTAAATTGTCCAAGAGTGAAATGTTCAATTAATAAATGTATTCAATATTAACGATTTTTCTTAAAGAATAAAAATCTTTTTTTAAAAAAAAATGATAACAATAATCTGATGTGTATCACAGATGCTAGTATTATTTAACATCTTAATAATGAACTTTAGACATAAATATAGCATCGCAAAATGTCAGGCACATGCAGTTATTTCAAAAGGCACATATTCCTCCCTAAATGCAACTTTTAAATCTATTAAAACTTGAAAATATAACACTTCTAAAAAAAATTTTAAAAGCAATATTTTTCTTCTGTTGAAGCCCCTATGAAGCCCCGACAGGTATAGAAGTGGAGTCATTAGATGGCACCCAGTTTTTGAGAGTCAATTGCTCCATTTCTTCGGGAATGGTCTGAATTCCAATGTTTTTGGGCTCTGAGTATGAGGAAGGGACTTCCCTGGGAGGGATTTTGAATGGGGGGACTTCTTTGTACATTCGTTTCTTCTGTGTTTGCATCTCCACCTCAACTTGGGCCCTGTTCCTCTGTGCCTTAGACCACTCCTCAAAATCTAACTGGCTTTGATTGAATGTGCCATGCATTCTTCGTCTACAAAAGTTAAAAAAAAAAATCATAATATAGTACATTCACATGTACTTAGACATTAGAAACGTTACCTTGATGTAAAGAAATGCAGGATTTGTGATAATGAATGATTAAAAAGAAGAATTCATAATATTATGCATTATGTTGAATTTTCAATTTGTCAGAAATTTATCTAATAATGTAGATCTTAGGAGTCTTGGTAGAATATGTGAATTCTCACTATCATTTATCATTTTCTATTCAAGTTTCTAATCAAGTCAATAACCTCTCATTTATATATTCTTTTAAAAAGGAAAAAAAAAAATATGAATGTCAGTTAGTTGAAGCAAATAAGCCTTTTTTGTGAATGCTGGAATGTTATTACAATCAGGAAATTATCATGCATTAACAATTGACTGCATGGTATTAATTAGAGGTAAATTTAGTTATAGGATCCATACATGGGAAGACAGATTTAGAATACACCTGATTACATCTAATTAATAAAGACATTATATTTCATGCTGCAAAAAATTTCCTCTTGACATCTGCGACACAACTACATGTAGCTACTAACGATATGTCCAAATATTTCTTTTCTTTGATATATGTCTTGAATATTTAGTCTACAAATTTAGTTTTAATAAATTTTACTTTTATTCTAAATAATTTATTTATTTATTATTTTTTATGTATTTATTTATTTTTATTTTTTGCAATTATCTGGCTAATGATATTTCTAATATATAAAGAGCATTTAAACAGTCTTCTAATTCTTACTGAACTTTTTTTTCTTGAAATTATTCAACAATAGCTACAAATTTTGCAGTTTTATGATGATTAACATTGACCTAGATGAAAGAAAAGGTATATGAATCATGAACATAAATGCACATATTTCATTACCAAAGCATAATAATACTGAAAGAAAAAAAAATCCTACACATAAACTTCATTATAACTACCAAAACCAGTGTACATATAAAATCTACATCTTAAGCACAATGTGTTCACATTTGGTCTGTCTCTATTATATATAATATTACAGGTATTACTTATTTTCAAAAAGTAATTCTATATCTGTTGTTTTACGATGGCATAATTGGAGATGAGTATGGATATGCTACTGAAAACATTACTGGGAATGGAAATTGTACTAGTCAAATTAATCATGCAGATAATATTTCAGTACATGCTGGGAGTAAAAATTAACTTCTTGTGGTATCCTTCTTTGTGGTCTGAACAAACTTTGAAATTCACAATTAAACAAATTCATTTTACTAAAATTTGAAAAGGAATCCAAAAACTTAAATCAAGGCTAAATTACAAAGAGATCTTTAATGTATTTATCCCATAATGTTCTTGACTATAAACTAACTCATTATCCAGGAAATAAAATTGATAAAAAGAATTAGCCCAATGTTAGTGAATTTTATTAAAATAAAAACAACTGGAGTAAACAATAAATAAAAGGATGGAACTGAGGAGGGAGGTAACTCTGAATAATTCCAATAACATACAATATAAACCAGACCAGGTCTAGAAACTATGGCTAATTCCTGTAACTTACCATTTTCAACTTTAATGGGACAGTACTAAATAAATGGACATGAAAATTAGCAACAAAAGAATTGTATATGTAAGTTAATCAAGCAACAAAATATGTATATAATGACTCAAGGGAGAGCATAAATATGAAGGCTGAAGAAATCTGTAAAGATATAGCAACTAGGAAAAGAGAATGGGATACATATTTCTTATAATGATCAAATAAAAACTTTAATGGGCTACATGTACAACAACATTAACATTTATTGATGATTTTCTGTTTTGCTAATTCTAGGTGACATGTGTGTGTTATCATGTGATGAACATGTTATAGAGTGATACATTTATATATAGCTTGCAGTGATACAGAAGCTGTCCTAACTACCCTGATCTATTTATAGACTTACTGAAACTCCCCCAAGCATGCATTCTGCCTCTATATCAATCAAGAGATCGTCAGTTACATATATCATGCATTATGTCGAATTTTAATTTATTTGCATTGTGATTCATGCATCCAATTATCATTAGCATATCGATCGCATATTTATGATATCAATCATTATTTTCTTCAGTTACAATACATTTAACTTTGATATTTAACTACATGTAATCTAATTTTCATTTTTAGTACCCTAGAATATATTATGTAATAAAACAATGTAATGATTTGTCATTTCTTGTGCCTAATATATATACACATATTTTAATTTTTCCACATAGAAGCCCTACATAGTTTTAGTACATGCACACAAGACAGTCATGCAGAACATTATCACAGAGCAATCAAGGAGTACAACCAAAGCAAAGGTCATCTCTCGGCAATGTTATCTGCGTCAAAGTGAGCTCCCCTTAACCTGACACACTTCACTAATTGTCATGCTTGACTGACTACTAACCTGCTGGCCATCCGTGGAGTGCTCTCGATATTGTGGAGAGGCATTTCCAGCCATCTGATACTGTCAGTACCGTGGCGTCCGAGTGGGACCAGGGGTAGGGGAGGTAACTTCACCTGTTCAATGTCCTTATCGGTGTAATCGTTCCCAGTCATACATCTTAGAATAGTTCTCTCCTCAGCACTGCGCTCGCGGCCCTGAGATAAGAGGGGATCACGGAAAGCCTTGGTGGCAATCTACAATCAAATTTATTATGACAGTTTCAAACAATTATCAGCAAAAAAAAATTCCTATTTTTAAAATGCATTACTTTTAAGAATTAATACATTGATCAGTTTTTATGACAACAAGTGTTAAAGAACTTTATTAAATACATGTATAACCTTCACCAAAATTAGAGCCAACCAATATCACAGTTTTAAAAAGGTCACATTATAAAGCATCATTCACCCTAGTTATAAATTGAAAAAATTATCTCCCTTTACTAAGCAACATGTCACATGAATTATTATTATTTTTTAGAAAGATACAATATTTTACAATGACTATACCAATTAGACAGGAATTCTTTAGCTGCAAAGGGTTGCTGAAAACCCTATCTAAATGATTATTTATTTCAAGTAAGTTAAATGCACCATTTATAATTGACAACAAATTATGTATTAACATGTATATCCCTCTACCATTGTTAAGAACTACACACAGATAGGTTTAGTGTCAATGGTTACTAAGGTGTTTGGTTTCCATGGTTTCACTGTCATAGTAACCATGGATACAGCAGGTGATGGTTGCATTACCTGTGCTGGTGCTGTGACTGGTCTTGAATCAGGGACATTAAAAACTACCTGTATTTTGCACAAAGTTTCACATTAGATAATATACAAAACTTCAAAAATGCAGTGCATGTACACAGCCTCAAGTCCTCAAGCCATGCCTTTATAAATACATGTACAGCCTTACCTGTGATACATCAACTTCAGAACGCAAGGAAAATCATGATAAAGTTAGATAACTTCATACAAATTGTGTGCCATTAATGAAACTTAGATGTGTATATAAGGGTGTAATGTGTCCACATTTTGGCAATTGGATTTTTTTTTTTGCCTCATTGTTTAGAAAAGTTTAAAAAACACAACAAACTTATCACACTTTTTATGGTCTTCCACAATTTCAAAGTGGTAGCAAATATGCTAGGAAAAGGGACAATTAAAGGTAAAGGCAGAATCTAGCAAGGTCTAAGAGAAAACACATGAGAGATAACACAGGGAAATTGGATCACACATAATCTTTTGCAAGAACAATTAATTGGTGTCCTCACTAGCAAACTCACAAAAATTCAAGTGCCTATCAAAAGTCCAATTAGAGTTGTCATTCTGAAAACCTCATGTATCTGTCAAGTTTTATTCAGTGATTGCTTTTATCAATTAACCCACAGGAATCATGCTCATGAGGCAGAAAAATTTCTGTCTGTGGGGTTTTCTCGTTTTCTAGTTTTGAAACTAAAAGTGATCGCAAAAGGATCTTTTTCAGCAATCAATGAACAAAGTGACAGAAAAGGTTTCCATGACTACCTTGTAGTGTTGATGGTCAAACCGTCGCTTGGCAGCAGCCATGTGCTTACTCCATTTGAGACAAGAATGCTGATTGGTTAGGAAATAAAGAGGATATACTATGGGTATAGAGAGCATGGATTTTGTTTTTTTAAACAACCTTGGTAAGGAGAAGCAAGACAGAGCTTTTATGTAATCTAATGTATGGAAACTCTAAGTCCTCTACTCAAAAAAGGTCTTCATTTTAACAAAAAAAGATAGAAACATTTCTGGAAATTCAATGCAGAATGTTAAAACTATATGTCATGTACTCGTACATGTATAGCAAACAAAAAAGGATTTCTACACAAGACTGAGGTAATCACTGTATATTTTCTATTCATAATGCTGAATAAACCATAAATTTAAATAAAAAGCAGGATAGAGCATTCTTCTTCAAAGTTCTGTATAGAAAATTGATAGAGTATACATCTACATGTATATCTTGGGAAATATTAACTACTGGAATACAACCATGCAAACATTTACCTTTTTCTCACAAAAGTAAACCTAAATCAAAAATTCTTGTTTCTTACATCTTTTCTTGATAAATTCTAAAGAATATATACAGTAATTTTTTTTTTTTTTTTTGCATTTTGAAAACAGAGGCTTCTTTTGAATGAGTTATCTCACCTTGATTGGAGCAGGTCTGTGTCCATTCAAGGCCTGGGCATAATACTCAGCTGGATCCATTGTATCTAAAAATACATGACCCTGCAAACAAATAAACATACATGATTTATTGATTTTGTTTAAAACAGCAGTAATTTATACTTTCTTTAAATCAAATTTTTTTTGTTAAATTATGGGAATTCAAACTATTTTTGGCAGCCCCCTTTTTTTATCCTAAGATTTTTTTTGTGTATTATTTACTGTATATAGTTATACCAGTAAACACTCAGATTTACTTCCTGCAACATTTTATGCTTCATGACTTGGGACTCTTTATTATTTTTTAACTAGCAGAAACACAAATAATACTTTGATCAACTTTAGAGCAGACCTTCTGGTTGACAAACTCCAGATACTGTTTGTGCAGCTCTCGTTTTCGACGGTCTAGTTCTGGCCAGTCTTCGCCATCCATCACGTCGATGATTTTCTCCCTAAGCGGTTCATACACACGATCATTCCACTTCTTGTGTAACATCTCACGCTTCCGCAGATCCAGAACCTCCTTGGTGTTTACTTTGTTTTCTAAGTCCTATAACAAACATTGTTGTCTTTTATTTATATGTAAAATTCATTTTATTACAGAAATTACATTTCAACAAACAACTTTAGCATTATCTGACCATAAATGGTTCTTTAACTATTTATACTGATATACTGAACTTATTGATTATCCAACTGGAAGTGTCAAAAATTATTTTCCTCTTTTAAAGAAATCCCCTGACTTATTATCAAATTAAGATGTTGAATTCAGTTTATAAACCCCGGTACTTCTTTTTTTTCCCAGTGCAAGGTGTACTTAGAAACACAACACAATTCCATAGAATCAATAACAATTTTGTTAACATGGTCGAAACATCACAATTTTACACTTCCTCTACAAGATGCAAAATCACCAACTCAAGAAACAAAATTGTTTGCACACAATCACACACTGATAGCTATAAATAAGGGCAGGTTGGGATTTTAGCAAAAAAAATTATTTTGTAAAGATTGACAACTAAATAAACTATAACAAAATTTACTGTATTTCATTACACATTTGACATCTCCTCATACAATGATGTAGACACAAAATATCTCAGATATATATGCAACCACACAAAAAATGTATTCAAATTCTAATGAATAGAATTTAATTACCCTGACAAATGTGTTTTCCACTTCCAGAAGAGGATTGTATAATTCTCTGGCTTCCTTTGTTTCCATATCCGATCTCTCCTAAAAATAAATCTGATTTATCAGAAAACAAAAGTGACATGATTAACAATTACCCTACTGAATGTAGAAAGAACAATTCATATTTAAGATACAATGCGTATAAAAATATGAAGTAGGATACTACTAGATACCAATACATGCATTATACAAGTCACTCATATGTGCACAAAAATATATTTTTATACAGAGAATTATATGCATGCAAAAGAAAATATGAAAGCTATTGGAGGTAAAAATGAATATGTGCATGTTCAATTCTAATCATGCAACTTGTCAAACCTAGTAAGGATACACAGTATGCATTAATACATTTGAAGCTGCCAAAATTAGGCACAGAAATTGTATAATATTTAAAAAAGTTGCAAGTAAAGTAAGAAAAAAAAAATCATAATAGACACATGCAGAAATTAATTGTAGCCTTGGTGTCTGCGGATCACATCAATCCATGCAGCCCATGCGATTTAATGCATGGTCCCCCTACCTTCATATACGTAGAGTTGACAATCTGAAATTGTATCTAATGAACTCAGAAAGAGAAATAAAGGCAAGTAATCTACAGAGATAAGAGTATCCCTCTCCCAGTATGTTATGTGTTCCTTACTTAAAAGTAACAGATTCTAGAGAGTATTTACTGAAAAACATTATCTTTAAAGCATAATGACAGTCAAGAGTAAAACAAAGAAAGGCATAACATTGAAGAAAGCAACACTTTCATACTTCTTTTTTAGACCCATTTCAGTTTTAATGGGTGCTTACAATTCATAGAAAATGAAAACAGTTTGGTTTTTTCCCTATCCTTTTTTATCATACATATTAAAGTGCAATTAAGTTAATTAATTTCCATTGAAATATTGATAAAGTATCACTGGTCTAAAGTACATGCAGAGTGCTCTCTTGTGTTGATATTATGTGAAATACAGTTCCTTATTCTACAATGAATAAAGCTATATTTTAACGAAAAGTAGATTTAGCAGTAAGCTGAAAAGGATGTGAAGGTACCTGTTGATCAACCCAGGCCTGAGGTATAGCAAACTGTAAACACAAATAAAATGTTCAACCCCCCAAAACAATACAGAACTATTATTACCAAAGAGTGGTACATGTGAATAGATATTACTTAATCTGAATAACAAAATACATGTAGTTGCTTTCACTCAATTGCTTCATAGTGTAATATTCATATGTTTACTAGCAATGACATGCAACACTAGCATAATTTTTTTTTCTAAAATATACAAAAGAATATATGGTACATGTATTCATTATTTTCATGCCATTTATGATTATTTTCTTGACTCAGGTAATTACAGAATTATTTGAGAATCAAACAAGAAAAAAACAAAATAATGTGAGTATGTCATCAAAATAGCATTTCTGGGTTGTTGTTGTTGTTTTCTTCTTTAATACATTTTTTACCTGCAATCCTCTCACAGTTTTTTCATTCAGCCAATCTTGCACTCGAAGAGTCTGGCCTATCAGACATTTGGAATCTACTTTACTCTGAATGACAGATGTAGACATAGGTCTTTTAGCCCGTCTTCTTTGCACATCACTTTTATTCATTTTCTGTTTTAAAAAAAATAATAATCACATTACTTCAAGCCAACTCTGTGAAAATCACTAATTATATTGAACTCCCCTGCCCCAACATTGTCGACTTCTAATAAGTGAGCAGCGCTTACCATCGTGGTGATGTGATCTTTACCATCTATCATCAGTTCTTCAACTAAATCCGATGAATGAACTTGAACCTTGCCCCCAGGCTGCTTAACACATAGTAATGATGTCATGATTATTTTCCTCACCCCTGAGGGTGAGATTACACAAAACTGGGATCAAACAGCCTGAAATCAATGAAAATAATTTTTACATTGATTCGAGTTCCTCGCCTTCTCTCCCGCGTCCGCCATATTTCAACAATGTGACGTCACATGGAGATATGCTTATCAAGTTAAATATCATTTTGACGACTTTTATCAGATTTGTATTATGTTAAACTATAGACTCTAATCTCCTTTGATAAACTTTTTCATCGGAAGATATAAAACACATGCTTTAAGCAAAAATAATTTAACTGAGAAATACCAACTTCACTTCCTTAGTGATGCATAAAACTTCCGCTAAGGGAGATCACTCCAAATTTTGTTGCAGAAGAAAAAACACATAAAACGAAAAGATGTTGGTAATGAGATATATTCTATTTATTTTTAAAACAGGCTGTGGAATTGTTTCGTTGCCTGGTTATCTGTCTAGTTCTGTCTAGGTTTTAGTTAGCGATACCAGTTAAGACATCCATAATAGCCAGGCAAACAAATTGTAGCAAGTTCTGGAAAACCCATCCCCAGTATTACACTCTTAGTAATACCCTCTGCAAATCAAAGAAATTTTCAAACCCAGATAAGTCTAAGATTAAAAAATGATATACCTGATATTTCTAGGTAAATGATTATATGCCCTTTAATCATATTTTGTAATTAAAAGCTTTTCTGTACCATAATCATGATAATGACACTTCTTCTATTGGACCTCTAGATGAAAATCCTTATCACTACGAAAAAATTTCAGTATGTCAATACATAGGTGCTTGATGCTAATATTGTGACAGAATTTGGGGAAGACTAGGGGAATACTGACCCAATTGCCCTAAACCGGGTATTAAATTCCTCTCCATATTTCGCTATGTGGAAAGTCCAATTAACACATGAGCCATCAAAAAGATGTAAAAGTACTCAATTTCTGTTTACTTGTACATTGTGTTTCAAGTTATATGGGACTGGAACTTGACGTTGTGACCATATATGTTAATTGATTTAACATTTTGCAACTGATACTTGTTACTTTAAACTTGCACATAAGCTCCAAAAGAGAATTTCATTGGGTGTTATCATTATAAATATTGTACTGTCCAGAACTGGTTAGTATATCAAACATATAATCTTAACAGAAAAATGTTAATTGAGGTTTTAAGGATGTAAAAAATATATATATATACTCCTGGAGAGAAAAGTGATTCACAGGACTGAAAGTTGTCATTGTCTTGCATGTTTAACTAGCACCAATGTGGACGAGAAACTTTCGGAGATTGGGGGGGGGGGGTATCCATGGGGATGGGGTAGTAAATTTTTTTTTTCCCTTTACACATTACTGTGAATTAGAGGTACATATATTGATCTATGGAAGGAATTGCTCAGATTTAAACTTCTTAGCTGGAAATTACATTTTATCTTATTTACCCTTTTCATGATAGAGGATTTATATAGCCTCATCCTTTCCTTACTTTTTGAAATTCATATGAAGGAAAATTATCCAAGAAATTATAATGTCTGATCATCTGAAGTTTAAACAATTTCATTAAGCTGCCTCAATAAGATTGGTTATGGGAGATATATTATCATCCAAAGTCATGTTTTCAGTGTTACATTTAGAGTTGACCTTGACCTTTGACCTTGAAATTGGCAGAAATTCTTCATTTACCTTTGGTACGTGATATACTGCTGTTTGAAGCTGGTGAAGATTATTTCTCTCTATAATTTCATGTGAGATTTTTTTTTGTTTGTTCCATCTATTGAAGACTTTTCAACATGAAATTTGTATATATATATATAAAATTTGTAGGGTCTTGCAGTCTTTTGATCATTTGCAGGCAAGTTACTTAATTGTGGTTGCAATAATTTGGGTTCAATTTCATACTATTTTAAATGCAATAAAACTACACCACATATATCATGTTTTAAAAGAAATTCAGACTCTTTATTAATGAGGTTCACTTCTAGATGATTTATTTAAAAGTCATTCGGTATTGCATTATCGTGATTACTTAAAAAAAAAAAAAGAACAAATATACATATCTACAGTACACTGCCCATCTCAGGTTTTAAGAACTATGAAATTGATTTTTATAATTTTTTGCTTGTTTTAATTGATTTACAAATACTTACATAAATTACGTATCAAGTTTCCTGAGTTTTGGACATTAACAATGCTGATGTTTGATAATTTTATAGACACTTACTTCAGAGATTCCAACAAACACATACACCCTATTGTCCTAGCCCTTCATAGTAACATGGCCGCCAGTTAAATGATTTAATCTGTACACAATGTATTTAAAAGCTTGATTAGAGTGTATAGAAGATAATGTTTAAATGTTTCTTTTGAGTGTCTCCAGTTCAAGTCAGGGGGGATTATTGACAGATTAATAATAAACCCTCCACGCTTCGACGTCACCCACACAATGTGATCCTAAAGATGCACACAACTGATGCGTGTGCAAAATCAATGCTACTCATCATTAATTTTTTTTTGTTGTCTACTCAGGGGGTAATTTAAATATTATACTGACAGTGTTCAGAGTTTTAGTGTAATTTAAGAATTGATGATGATGAAGGTATGGAAGTGCAATATGAAAGTGTAAGATTTTTTTTGCATTTAACTATGGTAGTGTAGTCAAATTATTTAATGAAAAATTTGAAGAATGCTCTAATTTTCAATATTATTTGTTCTTTGCTTTCAATGTGTCAAGTGTAAATGTTGATGAATTTATAAATGAAAAAGAAAAGTTTCACAAAATTAGAAAACATATGAAATTTGTTTAAATCTTTTATTTCTTTTTGATTTTAGAACTTAAAATATTCACAAGAATCTAAAGTGTTTCTTAAATAAATTTTATTTTTAAAGATAAGAAAATATTTGGTATTTATATATTTTTCAAACAATTATATACAATCTTGAAATATTTATCATTAAATCAATTGAATTAAAATAGATTGGATTAATATATTATTAATAAACTCATTGAATATAATTAATCTCTTGTATTTATAAGTACTGGATAGTTTATAGATATGAATACCACAAGCAGTAATGATAAAGTTAAAATATTCATCAATTTCTTAAAATAAAGATTGATTCAAGTATATGAAGGTAAACCAACATTCTCCTAAGGAAAACTGGGTTGTGAACATAATTTTGTGAATTTGAAAAAAGTTCTGCATATTATACGATTCAAATTTCAATATACATTGTGAAAAAAACTTTATATTTGAAACACAATGATTTACAAACAATGACAGTATTGGTTTGGGAGAATATACAGAAAAATATTAATTACTAACAAGAATTTTAATGTAAACGGAATGTTTGATAATAACCTTTTCTAAAAAAAAAAAAAATATCATTTTTTTTTAAATTTATGATTAAGGTAAGGGACACTCGGGAGGATTTTCCTGTAAAATATTTATATAAAAATTCATTATATCCATGTGTCACTTATATTAATTGTTATGTATTACCTATATACAATATATAAATATGGTTATAGAAAAATGTAATTTTGAAACGGCACAAAACTGATCGACATCCTCTATTATCGGCTATTGCAGCTGTTCATGATTTATCTTCCTTTGTTTTCATCATAAATTGTAATTAACTTATGACTGTTGGTTATATTTGTACAGATGTTACATTTACAGGAACAGTACAGGGTTTTAATGCTGGATTCTTGTTTCTGTTTACAAATACATTAATGTCCTGAATTTTTCCAGGACAAACATTGCCTGGCAGGTACATGTAAAATAGACAAAAGTCTCAAAAATTGTGAATTGTTTTTGGTGAGTTATTTAGCCCTAATATGTCAGATTTTTCTCTCAAGGTTTTCTTATTCCTAAAGTACTTTTAAAATCCACACATTTTTTTCTGCATGTTAAAGTATTGAACTTCATTATTAAAGGAGGTGATATTATTGATCCTGATATTTTGATCCATACATTCCCTTTTGTTAAATATATTGGGGGTTCCTACAAAAATTAGCTTTCTGAACATCCCAAAACACTTTTATTCAAAAAAGATGGCTCAAGTACCCTTTTCCATTTGCTACATACATATAGATATTATATATGACAGTATACTGTGATGTAGTTGGGAATGATTACATGATCAGTCAAATGTCAATTTAAAAAACATTGGGTTACTGATAACTTCAACTAATGGAGAACTATGGTACTTTTTATGCTCAAAACTGTTTTCAAAAACTGACCTTGACCTTTGACTGCTTGACTTTTATTTGATGATGTCTTCATTTTGCTAACCTTAATGTATATCTGTATTGTATTGTACAACAACATCCAGGATGAGAATACTTCAATACCTCTCAATCTGTAGACTTCACAATATTCATGATCACCTATAAAGACCTAAAAGAAATGATGCCTCCATATTTGCTTTGAAAGGTCAAGGTCAAAAAGCAATCATTATCTAAAGGTATTTTTATGGCCCTTGATGATGTCTTAAGTTGTCTTCAATTTTTATGGCTCCAGGGTGGTACTCAAGGAAGTACATTTCATTTTTAATGATTATTTTTTCCCCATTTAAAACTTGTTAAAAGTAGTTTTTATTAAGTGCATTTTATATTATGCTAATGTATATTTTGACATTATGAACATAAACATTACCTACCAATATAAAAGTTTCTGTCTCTTTCTGAGTGTAACCCCCCATTTCCTCTGATAGGATTCAGACAGGGTATATTGGCTGTTGTTAAGATAAAGGTCGGTGTTTTTACTTCATTGAGAGTTCTGATAAATCAAAGTCTTGTGTAGCTTTGAGGGACTGAGTGAAGTTTATCGGTGCTTTTCAAGAGCTAGTCTAACTGACAGACCACTAAAGAGATAGTTCAGGGGGCCAAATCCACAGGGATTAGCACCCATAAAGAACCTCTAATGCTGAAATACACCTCTTACCCCACAACACTGGAATTAAATGTTTCATTCAATAAATTTTGAAGAGTTCTATCAATTATGGAAAATAATTAATATTTGCAGACTCTTGAAATTATTCTATATGTTCATAAAAATTTGAAATATCCCTTCAATATTCCCCTGAGTGAATGAGTGATTGAAACTTTCAATTTTCAAGTTTCAAACACACAAAATAC